CCAAATGAAGTTCTTGTGAAGGTCAAAGCTGCGGCCATCAACCCGGTGGACATTCAACTGTGGGGCAACCCTGTAATCGGCTGGCTTGCCGGAAACAAAGAGAAGGGCATAGGAAGAGACTACTCTGGCGAGATAGTTGCCATTGGTTCTGACGTGAAAGGGACTGGGAACTGGGACATTGGAGATGAAGTTTTCGGACTATGTAATCGACCGGTACGTCGAATAATAGCACACACACGATTACCAAGCTGATAAAGAGAAAATAGATGGCCGAAGGAACATTCACGCACTACCTCTCTATAAACCCCGGCACAGAACCCATAGCAAAGAAACCGACAACCTTGACTCATCAAGAAGCTGCAGCCATCCCCCTCGTCCTTCTCACGGCCTTTGCAATTCTTGACTGGCTGCCCGCGCCATCCCGCTCCCCGAACCCAGAGCAGCGCCGCGTCATCGTCTCAGGCGCAAGCGGCGGCGTGGGAATGTGGTGCGTACAGCTCGCAAAGAAAATGTATGGATGCCATGTCATCGGCATCTGCTCTGGTCGCAACGCGGATTTTGTGCGAGAACTGGGTGCGGATGAAGTCATCGACTATGGCACCCAAGATGTACCTCAATCACTGTTGTCGAAAAGACCGGACGGGAAAAAGTACGATTTGTACATTGATTGCGTGGGTGGGACGGACATGTTTGCGCATTGGACGGAGCTGTTGCATACGTCGGGCGCGTATATTACAATCGTGGGGGATAAGACATCGAGGACGGCTATGGGTGGGCCGTTGACGTACTTCACATACCCCTCACAGGTGTTGAGACATGTTCGTGGGTGGCTTTTGGGGCCGCGGTATGCAAATGTTATTCTGTACCAAAAGAGCGAGCTGTTGGAACAGGTGAGACGGCTGGCGGAGGAGGGCGAGGTAAAGGTGGTGGTGCAGGATGTTGTCAAGGGTATTTTGGAAGAGGAGAGGCACAAAGAGGCGTGGGAGAGCATCAAGGCGTATATGGAGGGTGGGAGAGTTAGGGGGAAGATTGTTGTAGATGTATGATGATGAGTATGTGAGGATGACGATGGATAGTTGGTAAGATACTTGAAGCGATGTTGTTGAGTTCTGTCGTCATCTAAAGATGAGCGTCATACTCAGAAGAAGCTACATGCGCCATCTACATTATATACAGTCTCTCACTCTCACTCTACCTCCTTTTGACACCTTATCTAGCACTGCAACTTTGCAGGTCCGGGAATTTGGTACGGCGTACCGTTGCCCTTGGGCTGACCTTGAGCATTGTAGATGCTAAGTTTGATACCAGGATCATTTGCGCTGTAAGCACCCGGAAAGCCGACTGTATTTCCTGCCTTCGAACCAGAGCCTGAAACGTTGATTTGTGCGCATCCCTAGAGGAAAGGTTTAGCTGATGTTCCCGTCGTCGTATCAGCATTGATCACTTACCACATAGAATTGTGCACCACCAGTCGTGCTAGCACTGTGCAGAGCAATCATCTCAGCACGGAGAAGATATTGTCCAGGAGCGACGCAAGAAGGCATTGTCATCTCAGTCCATCCTCCGTTGTTGAGCATACGGTCAACACCCCAGTTGCCAGAGCTATCGAGACCATCTTCAGAGACTTTGAACCAGGCCAGGCCAGATGGGGAGACAGTGGCTGCGTTGGAGACCTTGGCCATGTAGAAGATGGCGGGACCCTTGTGAGATTTGGCAATCGGGTGATCTGGGTCGTTTGCGAATCTATGTGGAGTCAGTGATCTGGAAGCTGGATATAAACCTAAATGAAACGTACTGTGCTCCGCCAACGACGTGACCCCACATGACACCGACCTTGTCTCCGGGCTTTATATCAATGACCTTGCTAGAGGAGGAGGGGTTCGCATTGCAGGCAAGGTTTCCGTCGTTTACGTTGGTGATGGGGTTGTTGGACGGAGCAACGCGAATACCGTTGCCTTGACCAAAGTCTTGACCGTTGACTCGAACACGTTGGGCAATGGTATGGGCTGAGACCAGTGCGGGTAGAACAGCTACAGCGATGGAAAGGAACCTCATCTTGAGCGGGCAGGGTTTTCTGTAGGAGTTGAGTGTTTACCGTCCTGTGGGGGTGGATGATATCCTCCTACATGGCACCCCCCCCCCCTCCCTTATATATCTCGTCTCTCTTCGTAGAAACACCCTACCTGACGCACATAAGACTCGTACCAGACACAAAGGCACTTCTCATCTACACTCCCGATGGGCTGCAATCTATTAACGCCGTATGAAACCATCGCGAATAAGTCCCCAAGCATTGGCATGCAGCTTAGACTTGTTTTGTACCACGGTCAGCATCGCTGCTGTCGGCAATAAGGCAATAAATGAAAAGACGCCCAATGACTCCCGAGCTACAGAGTGGTATCGGCTCTGCGTGGGCATCGATTTATATTGTTTCGAAATGACAGCCTTGTGTGATACAGTGGCGCGTGATTGACGCTTGGCAAGGTCTTTGTGTGCTGTCGCTTAATATATTCCCGCAATAGAGGCCCGTGGACATGGACCTCATGACCGGTTATTGGAAGCGAGCATCAACGGTAGATGTTGAACTTTGCTTTGTAATCCACCGCCTGCGGTGGATCAGTAGAATCTGAGTAGTCTACTGCGGCCATCTGCATCATACTCCTACGCGTATACGAGTGTTGTAACAATCTCCTGGCTATGAGCTCGCATACTGAAGTTTTGGATGGGGAAGGCCAGTAAGCTACACTGAGACCCTCCGATGTGTAGTTTCCGAGGCGCCATTTTTCTGCTAATATCTTTTCTGTCTGCTGCTGATTTTTTGTCAAAAATGGGCAATTATATGGATCAAAGACGTACTTGTCGCTATAGAATGTTTTGGAGCAATATGTTCGCATCTCCGTACCACACGGTGTTAGCGCGATCTGATCAGCTCTGTTGTCAGCCAATTTCTATCAGGGAAAGAGATAGAAATCCTCCAATGACAGCCGATGTCTTCATGTTCACGTGTATCGCAGCTTGCAGTAAATGTATTATATGTTTCCTAACTCCCTATACTGGACATCTGAGGTAGTGATGTGGCACCGTGTCCGTCAATCACCACGAGGTAGACTCTTTGGCTCGATAACTTTGGTCAGTAACTAAATTAGGGACAGCAAGTAGTTCCTTAGGCCTTCAATCTACAGTCATCATCATTGTGGTCGTCAAACACATTATACAGTAATCGGTCCGACATGGAAGGATACTTCCCGGCCAGCGCAAAGGCGTAAGACGCAGTAGTGCGCATGGGGTAAGTTAACTATCGTGATTGTTTTTCCGTGGAACACTGCGGTTGTAAGCGGTGTTTCGCAGGCTGTTCTTTGGCAGACGACTATGTATATGCGACACGGCGATGTGGAGAGCACTAGGTAGTGTCTGCCATAGTTGTGTCGTCCAGTGCCGAATTCAAAACACCCAGCCAAGGACATGGAATCTCGGAGTCTACTATTACTTGATGGTCAAACATGACCAAGGCATTTTGTGGTACCCTAGATGCGTTAGCGTTGGGTAGTGTTGAAGCAAAGGGACTTTCAGGGTGCATGCCGGCTGTACAAAGACGGCCGAAGCGTCGGAAGGTAACATAGGAAGCTTGCAGCCATGACAGTAGGAGAAACGTACATAGCTCGGTATTTTATTAGATGCATTGATCTGCAGAGATACTGGATGAATGCAAATCAAATTCCTGGGTCGGCACGTTCGGCCCATTTTCTCCACTTGAAGTCTCCACGTGTTGGCGGGCGGAGATGCAGCACAATCACTAACCTATCGCTGGCCGCTGAGGTGAAGAAACTGGGAAGCCACGCCGGCAGACAGAGTCTCCGCGCAGTTCCGCAAGCCTCTGTAACCATTGCCACGACATTAAGAGCGACGGCAGCCCAACGGCGCGATAGGAGAAATGAAGGATAAATAGTGATAGGTTGATTATTGAAAGCAGTGCCACGAGCTAGAGCGCGGAAAGCATCGTGGGCTGCACGATGACGATGACGTTCGGGTACCGATGACATCATTTATACATGTCTGTGTGAGCTTCTTCAGTTCCGCATAGCCGGCGTTCAAGGCCGGTGTTCAAGTGTACAAGTTGGCTTTTCGTCTGCGACAAGACAGACAAGTCATTAATTCAATCATCTCCCGCTCACTCAGGGATTTGAAGGAAATTGAAAGTAGATATTGATCTACGGCACCATCTCCATCCGGTGTTAGTCAGCTGCGCCGTGACCCCTCCGAGGTCTCCACACGTCATCGCAGGCCACAGCCACAGCCACACTTCAGGTTCAGGGTTCCAAGGTTACTTGGGCGTAACGGGTGAACCTTCTGCGCTGTTGGTGCGAACGTAACGTCCTGGTAGGAAAGAATAAAGTCGCCAGGGTCCGATCACCCTACTGTCGCAAACAAAAGCAAATAACGCAGTAGCCAAGGTAGCAATCATAGCAATCTTTCGACATGGCGTCGCAGCGCCCAATTACCCCTTCAGCATACGCTCCTGTACCGCAAGTAGACGACCCAACTTACCTCAGTCGCGGATACGGCGCTTCTGCACCCACACAGTATGGCGTACATGACTTCGCCGACGGTCCAGCAAGCGCACCACAGGAACGTTCGCGCCTCGGCAGGTTCGAGGAGGACTTCGATGCGCGCACACGGGGTTCTTCCATCCTCGACGGCGACATGCCCCAGCGCTCTTCCTCGCGATCCTCTACACTCAATCAAGGGATAGCGCCTTCACGTAGCGGCACACTGAAGAAGAAGAACTCGGTCAAGAGGAGCGGCAGCTTGAAGCGAAGTGGGAGCAGGAAGTCAATCCACGCTGGCAGCATTCGCGGCGTTGCTATCGAAGACCAAGAGCGGGGCTATGATCGCGAGGACAGTGTCTTTTACACACCCGTACCAACAAAGGGCACGCCTACTGAGCTACTCGCAGAACGCTTCCAGAGTACGTTGGCCCCTATTAGCAGACAACAAGACCCTTTCACTAACATATCCTAGCCTGGCGAAAGTTCCTCAAAGACCTCATTACCTACTTCCGAGAAGTGGCCTCCTCATACGAGCACCGCGCCAAATCCCTCCTCAAGGTGTCAAACGTCATCAACAACACCAATGCGCCTGCAGCACTCCTACTCGAGGGTGGCTTGAATGACGCCAACCGTATCCTTCGCGACTTCCACAAACAGGCTATCCTCGAAGCCAACAAGGCGAGGGACGTAGAGGCAGATGTCATCAACCAGCTCAGCGGACTGCGAGCCGATCTTGCGCAGAAGATCAAGGAGATCAAGTCACTTTCTGGCGATTTTAAGAATAACGTCGAGAAGGAGAAGGAGACGACGAGAAAGTGTGTGACGGCACTCGAGGAAGCTCTGGCCCTGGTCGACTCAGATCCGGCTGCCATTGCTGGCAAGGGAGACCCATATGTCGTTCGTCTGGGTGTCGAGCGACAAGTAGAGAGACAAATCGACGAGGAAAACTACCTCCACAGAGTCAGTCAGTACGAATGCATGAATTGCCCACAGCTAACAACCCCAGGCCTACCTCAATCTCGAGAACTCTGGCCGCGAACTCGAGTCCATTGTCGTTGGTGAAGTCCAAAAGGCCTACAACGCCCTGGCCAGCATTCTGAAGCGCGATGCCGATGAGCAGTACAACACGGTCGAGAGACTCCGCAATGGCCCCATTGCCATGCCGCGGGACCTTGAGTGGAGCAGATTCGTGAGAAGCGATCCCCATTTTGTCAACCCGGACATACCACTACGCAGGCTAGAGAATATTCAGTATCCCGGAAAATACCATCCAGCCACCACAGAGGTCAGGGCGGGAATGCTAGAGAGGAAGAGCAAATATCTCAAGTCATACACACCAGGCTGGTAAGTGGCCCATTCCATTCAACTATGTGATCTAACAAGGCAGGTATGTTCTGTCACCTACGCATCTCCATGAGTTCAAGTCGGCCGATCGCATCTATACTCAGCCTCCAGTCATGTCCTTGTATCTGCCGGACCAGAAGCTTGGCTCTCGATCTCAGCCCGGAAGTTCCTCCCACAAGTTTGTCATCAAAGGTCGCCAAGCTGGATCTATGCACCGCGGCCACACTTGGGTATTCCGGGCAGAGACTTACGAGACCATGGCGGCTTGGTTCGAGGATATCAAGGCCTTGACTGAGAAGCGCGGAGAGGAACGCAATGCCTTTGTACGCCGCCACGCCAGCGTCAGGAGTACCAGTGCCGGCAGCCACCACTCAGCCAGCTCCGATGGCGGACTAGAAGAAGACGAGGCAGACGCCATCCCCTTCTCAGCCAATCAGTCGATGAAAGACCAGACCGTGCGCGACCAGTCTCCGGTGCGACCTTCACGACCTTCTCCAGGTGGGCGATTCCCATCCGATTTGATGGTCAACCGTAACTTACAAGCCCCTCTTTCGCCATCTAGTGGAAGTTCGGAGGTCGGTAATGATCTAAACACCATGGCCGGAGGTCCGCCACAGGAAGCCCATGCCACGTATCCCATCCAGACTCAATATGCACAGCCCATCCCGCAACAGCCTCAACCCAGTTTCGTAAACTCATACCCATTCCCCCAGCAATCGTACGACCCCATGACTACCAATGGCTCATCCTACGCACCCGATCCCCAGCCCTATCCAACACAGCAAACCTACACCGAGAACTATGACCAGCCAATTGGCAATGGCCAGCCCATTCAACGCCACGACAGTAACAACTACGGCAACTGGATGGCGCCCGCTGCAGGAGGAGCAGCAACTGGAGCCCTAGCAGCCGAAGCATATCGGAGGAAGCAGTTGGCGCAGCAACATATGCAGGCACAACAACAGAATCTAAATGAGCACCCACAGCAACATCCCGGCGAACATCCCAGGGCGATGGACTTTTCAGACGCTACTCCTGTGCAAGACTTCCCTGAACGGCACCCTGACCACATTCGCCCTGATCAGATCGATGACACAGGTTACGTAGCCCAGCCTGCTGCTCCTATTGTCGCACCTGTCTTTGACAGCCAAACTCAGCCCCAGATCAACGGTCAAGGAACACCGGCAACCACGTCGTCTTTTTTAGGAGAGTCTGAGGTAGGCGTCGCCCCTGCCTTTGGTCAGACTGTCAACGGCGGCCCAGTTCCTGTGGATCTAGTAGATGCTGCGGACTCTATGGCACATCCAGGTATGCCTAAGAGAATGGACACCGACATTAGTGTCAGTGACCTCCATGTGCCTGGCGAATATCCTAGATCGAGTATCAGCGGTGCCACGATCAACGGAAGCATGCCTGAAGAGAACTCGACGATGCTGAAGTAACACTGATCACGCTCTGGGTACGAATGTATGAATGAAGATGGGAAAACGGATGATGACTGACATGGGTATACGAAATGGGCTGGACTGGGTTTGGGGCTCATAGGAAAGAGCATGGGATACATATGGACGGCTTTCTGCCAGGATCTCTGCGCAGTGGATGGTTACTTTTATTTTCTGCACTTCTTTCCCTCGTTCAGAGCGATTTTGCATGCTCTTCACAACTTTTCATACCCCCCTTTGATACCCAGCGCTGCATCACATCCGGGAAAGAGTATACACGTAGTTTGTTTTAATATATCTTTGCTATTCGCTTTACTCCCTTTGTACAGTGGCTACGTGAACGACATGTCATGTGATAAGGGTGCCTTTGCAGCGAAGATGCTCACTTGGATAAGATCAGACTACCAAACGGGGGGTTGATGGTCCGGGTGAGATGGGATCGTCAGTCAGCCAGTAGGGTAAGAAGACACGAAGTTTTCTCGACCCATCAATTTCGGTACAAGGCGAGGAAAAGGAGATGTAGATGATCGTCGGCAGTTCAGCGGACGGACACAAATCGTGAAAAGAGAGTTTCCTTACTCCACAACACTCTATCTGCAACAAGACCATATCCACCGTCGGAAAACATGGTACCAGAGACATTTCCACAGGACCGTATTCGCACTCGGCAATCTTGCATGCCGTCTATTCCATGACTCTTTCTGTCCTTGTTCACCAACTCTGACTCTCATCCCCGTCAACCATCGCAGGCGGCCAACCGTCACTCCAGACCACGCGAAACAGCAAAAAAAAAAAAAACGAATCCACGTTCTTCTGCTTGCCGGTGGTCCTTTGGATGGCGCAGAATGAGGCTTGTAGCAGAATGTGCCGGGGGACATGACTCAGGACATGAAAGCGGAGAAGGCTCTTTTGTTTTCCACAGGTATTCTCGGAGGATTTTATTTCTCTTTCTGGTTATGCATGTCTGTAGACCACTGGACCAGGTCTTTGGGTCTCTAGAGTCTAGATGGTCGATGAGCACTGAGCATGTGAGCAACGGGATGATTTGATGTGCCGGGACGAGGATCCGCTGCTTGTGAAGCCGGAATGGGAAATTGGATCTGTTTGGGGTGGACAGGAAGGGCAAGATGGCAAGATGGCATGTTGGCAGAATGGCTTGGAGGCTCGAAAACGGCCATGTGTTGGCAATTGTGCCGGGCTAAGAGGTTCTAGAGGCTGGATAGATGGAGAGGTCTCGGGAATGGGGGTAGGAAATAGAGGCGTTCTAGACAAGGCGATGGCGATGGCGATGCGGTACTGATCGACAGAAGGAAGCCAAGATGGGTGAGGTAAGACTCGGGCCTCAAGCCACAGCCTTGCGCATCGCAGTCATCACACGATCATCACGATGCCAACAGTGCAGCGCTGAGCGAACGGGGGTGTGAAACGTGTAAAACGTCCGTCACGTGTCGAAGCCGAGCGGGTACGGTAGTTAGTTAGCACACGTGCAACAAACCACTCCAACTAATGCCCTCACAAAACGCAGCATAAATCATCATGATCCGCCAACCAGAATCCAGGCCACGGTCAGCGAAAAAGAAAAAAAGTAGAAAAAAAGGCGCAAAAGAAAAGCGGAGACGACATAATATATGTTAGCGCAATCATGCAAAGAGTGCGTAACCAGGTCAAATTTTCACAACTATGCATGTCCTAGTGACAGGCAGCCATGTGTGTTTTGTTCACCTTTGGCCAATCTTTCGGCTCTTCGGCCAGACTCTCGGAAAGGAGGAAGGTGAACCTGGTTTTGTTCCGATCTACAGTACACACACACATAGTGAGAGATAACAGGTGACCAGGTAGAAGGTTGCGAGCGAACGCGTGACATGGATCTTGGCATTAACGGTTGTCGCTCCCGCTCATCACATACCCGTTTTACAGCACAGCCAATAATTCCGATCTTCTATCATCATCTCCAGCTCCAATAAACTCATCCAATCGCAATCTACGGATATGCCTAGCACATCAACAATGTCCATGTCCATATTCGTCCAGCAATCATAATATCCAGTCCACTATACCACCGCTCATGCAACGATGCCCCATGTTTCATGCAAAACCGGGGTTCTTGGGCCAAGCCCTACTCCCATGCATCTATTGCGTAGCACCATGTACTGTACTCGGCACCAGCCTTGTTTTATTTATATTTATTCTTTTTTTCCCCATTGTTCTACCAGGGGCGGAGCAGGCGGAGCGCAGTGGGCTGGTGGTCCATCAATTCCGTAGTTTCTTCCCATTCTATCAGCGGGACGCGAGTTAGGCCGAGTATAGATCAAGGAAGAATAATGGACAATTGCCGAGCTGTGTGTTGTGGTTATTTGATTGGTTTGAGGGGCGAACGTAGTGTTTGGTTGTTATGAACGCCAGGCTGAGCGCGGGTTCCAGTTGTGGTCGTGTGACATGGCCATCTCATGCTCCGTTGGGGCTTTGTACTCTGCTTGGGACATTTGACATGAGCAGTCAGTAAAAGGCATCCATGTCGAGGCGACGATATCAGGTTAAAAAGGTTCCAATACTAACGCCTAAAAAGTACAAGATATAATATTTTGATTGGGCGGAGGTGATAGAAAGTAGCTAGAAAATGGGGCCTGGTAGTGGCTACAGCAGCGACAGAGAGGGCGCACACAATGGTGGGTAGAGAGCGGCAGGACAGGAACTAATGGCCTCGGGGTTAAGGAATGGCGTGGACGAAATTACCGTCCGTAAAGCAATGAACAAGAAGGGAGCGACCGTGGTGCCCATAGTGCGCCAGATGTAGTTGTAAAGTTTGCCCATTCAATTGCCGGTATCTAACACCCCACAAACGCCTAGATGATAAAGGAAACAAAGAAGATTGGGATATAACACAGGAGAGGAAAAGATATCTTCGCCGACAGAGATGTTTCTTATCCCCGTCCAATGCTAGTTCAACGGTTTGATGATTCCGTCGTGCTGAATAGTAACGGGCTAAATCGCAAGATGATTCTTACTCTCGTCGTCAATGCGTGATCGCGCACACCGTAGTGCGAGACATGAGGTGAAGGAGATTAGATGTGTGCGGTATCGGGGTATTGATGCGTTCGTGAGCAACTCCAGTCGTCAAGAACGAGTCGACATGAATGGCGCAGAGATGCGCAAATTGCCTTGGTCATGGCACTCAAACATTGGTGACCTAGCGATGTTAGATGGACTCTCCCCCAGTCGCATCTATTAGTTGCATACCTTCAATATCCGCCTCGAGTAGTCCTCGTTGTCTGCAATGCTGCCGTTGCTCTGCCTCCGGTCGACAAAGCTTGGGTCCAGGCGTGAGTCGTTCATGGACGAGTTGCTGGTGTGGAGTTTGCCTCCGTTAACAAATTGGTTGACATTGGCGGCGTTTCGACGATAGTCTTCTTCAGCCTGGTGTTGGCGTTTCCTGCGGAGGAAGAACCATACGCCGAATATGATGGCGGCGAGACCCAAGATACCGATTACCACGCCCACAGCGATGGCGACGGTGTTGGGTGCGTCGTTCTTTGGAGTGGATGATGGAGTGGCAGAGGCAGTTGCGGAGGCAGCGGCAGTCGATGTTGCGGCAGGAGTTGTTGATGAGGGTGCTGCTGAGCTGCTGCTGGATACTGGGGGTTCGAAGTAGTCGACTGGGTTTCTTGTGTTGCCAGTGAGTACAACCCACAGTGCGCCCTTTCCACCACCTAGGGAGATCAGTACAGTTAATCACAGTGTTGCTTGGTCAACTTACAGCCAGATGTGTCGTCTCCAGCACAGGTGGTACCGCATGTCTCGTTCTTGGTTTGCCATGCTTTGGCAGGAATTTCGTCTCCACACCAGCAGTCGACACCGTCTGAAAGACCCATGACGTCCTTGCCGAGTTGGAGACATACCAGTTGGCAGTTACCAGGCGACTGGAAGTTGTATGGTCCATGGTTTTCTAGCGGCGTCCCTGTTGCGAAACATCCGATACTTGTCATGGCACTGGCGGGCAGGGTGACTGTGGGTGTGGTGATGGGGTTCTTGATCTTGGTTGGCGAGTCGCTGTCGGCGGCGACAGCAACCATGGCCATCGAGGCCATCGCAAGGACGGAGGCGAATCTCACGTAGACCATGTTGTGATGTGGTGTGTTTGGGGGGGGGGGGGTTAGTAAGTTTGTTTTCTGGCTCCTGTGCCAGCTACTGTGGACTGTAGTGCGTCGCGTCAGCGTGGTGTCGACGACGTTGAGGACGAGTGTCGCACCTTTGGGCTATAGACGAAGGCGTGGGTACATGCAAGGCCGCGATGGGCGTCTGCTGCTGGGTCGTGTCCGATGAAGTGGTGATGGACGTCTGTCTCCGGGATGGTGAATGAAAGTACGGATCGCCGCCGTGGTCGGGCTGTCGTGGTGGGTACGGGGCTGTTGAGGCTGCTGTTTGGGAGATGATGTTGGTGTCGGCGTCGGGGTCGTCGGCGTTTGTGACGAGCGCCGTCTGCGTAGTCTTGATGCTGTAGTCTCGATTTTGGAAGCAGTTCAGCTAAGGCTCGCTCGACGAAGCCCGAAGCCCTTGCTGAAGGCTGGTGGTGTTGAAACGGAGCGCGTAGGGACAGGACAGCAGGTGATGAAACAGCTCGGTGCTTGCGTGGAATGCACCCCTTGAAGTTGGCAAAAGGAATGAAGCGGCGAATATGGAAGAGGTTAAGGACTGTGCAATAAAACGATTGTGGGTGTCGATTGATGGACAGACGTGAAGCAGACAAACGAGAGGAGGCTCGGGCCCTGAGTGGATCGCAGTGAAGAGCAAAGGAGAAGCGGCCCAGTTAGGATAGGCAGGCAGGCAACAGGAGCCAGAGCCAATCTTGGCAATTAGCGTGCAGTGCAGCAGTGGCAGTCTGACTGGCAGCCGCCGCGTCGTGCAGCCCCCACACGGCTCTAGATAGCGCAGCTCGCGTCGTCTGCTACTGTTACTCGTGAGGCTTCCAAAGAACTCGACGTCTTTTTCTGCCATCAGCCAAAACCCTCACCCTCACCATGCACTCAGCGTCTGCTCCCGTCGCTGCAACGAGCAACAGGGCGCTGTCACCATGTCGAGCCAACTGGGCCTAGCGCTGACCCACGGCATGCAGGTACCGTACCGCCATTGGCCAGCCTAAGGCCGGTGGCGTTTCATCAAAGCCACATGCATGTCGGGGGAGGCAGGGGCTCGTCCCAGGACCGCGCGGTCTCTCACTCTGTCACTCTGGCACTGGTCTCGCGTCCCCCCAGCCCTCGGCCAGACTGACGCTGACGTGCACCATGCCAATGCTTGATGCTTTTTAACTACCGTCTGTTGGGACTGCCTGTGCCTCGTAGGTACTGGTCGACGTGGTGCTCATTTAACTGGCCGAGCCCGCTGCTTCCGTACACGTCCAGGTGCAGATACAGCTATGTACGCCCGACATGAGATTTAGTCGCCCGCGTCAAACTGGCTAGAAATCCATTCCTCGGCCAGTCCCATACATGGCCGCCTGTCAGTCCCGTTGTAGACAGACGTCAGAAAGGCTGGGGAACCTGAGACAACTGCCTATCGTGCAAGCATGGCCCCAAGATTCATGTCCGTGTCAAGATTCCCCAGCTTGCCGTCTCCCGAGACGGTTTGGTCATGTGTCGTCTTAGTCATGTTGGTCACGTGCATCGCCCACTTCCCCATCGGGACACGGGCTCAATTCAATCCAACCCGGCCGCGGCCCAGGTCGACCTTCATCGTCACCTCGATCCCCCACGCTTAGCGTGATGCGCCGTCCGCCCATTGCCTGCCGTCGAGTAGTGCATGTCGTCCAGAATTCATGTGCCCACCATGTATGGATCTCGGATGACGTGCTCGCCCTCGCATTCAATACTTTCTTCCTCAGTTCGTGCCCGCAGCAGAAGCGACATGGCAGCCACATCCCGGGCCCATTGGAGGCCAGGAAGAGGGCGGCGAAGCGTCGAATGACCGTCTCAGCCGGCTTCTGTCCCCAGGTCCCTTTCCCCTCAACTACCTTCAACTGGCAAGCCTGGTTTGGCTTGCGCAAAAAATCCCAACCCACCTGGACATACAAAGCCCCGTCCTCACAACGCAACGCTGCCGAGCCAATGGACCCAAGTATGTTTGCGCAATAGCCCAGGCAAGCATCATGGCCTTGGCTGACAATGATAGCGTTTCAACCTGTTCCAAGCTTGCCGGAACCGCCTTTCAATAGTACCACTGCCGCCGAACACGCTGAATCCGATACCCCCAACTCGTTCACCCAGATTCTCCCACAAATCACACGGCATGAATATGGAAGCCCGGCACAGGCGCATGGCATAAAAGACGGGACAGAGCCTGCATGTCATGCTGTCACCGCAAAACAAAGCAATGTCGCTGCCTTGAAAGGTGGGCATGCTCAGGCACACTTTGGCCAGTTCATGTCCAGAACCGCAGATGCATCAAAATGGGACAGAGTGGAACGGGTCCGGCTCCTAGCCATGATATATGATGCTTGTCGCCCAAACAACGCTGACGATGCCTTGTACAATCTCATGGTCCTTCAGCATTTAATCACCCAAGGCTGGGACCCTACGCGCATCCTCTCTAAGCTCAGAAACTTTGCCCTTCCTCCTACCTACACTGCCGAGAGTCTGACATTGCTCGAGTGTTTGGAGAAACTATATGTCAAGTACCCTATTGGTCAAAGGGTCCATCGTCGCGTGTACCTCAAGGCAGCAGATATGGCCGCATCTGCAGAAGCCTCGAAAAGCCTGTCGCAAGACCTTCACCTGCTCATGACGATTCGAAGGACACTACAGATTAGTCGTCCGGATTTTTTCCAGCTTCCATCCCAGCCCTTGACTGCCTTTAGAGAAGTCGTGAACAGGATTCAAGACAACGACATTAGGGAATTACTACGTGCTATTGAACATGGTATTCAGAACGTTCAGCCGATGATACCGACCTTCATTGCCCGTGCTGCTGCAGACTCCAGCTTCCGTCCGGTGGCCGAACAAACCCTATTATGTTTCCCACCCAATATGTTAGACCGACTCGTCAAGCTGTACAGTCGCTCCTTTGCCGAGGCCATCGAAAAGAACCATGGCATGTCGGTAGCAAGCCACAGAGCTCATCTGAGCACTCTGAGCACTTGGTTGACTGTTCTTGAATCTCTCGACGCCCGAACGGACACACACAAAGCAACCCATCTGACGACTGCCATTAGATTGCTAGCAAAGCATATTCTTTCGAGCAACATCTCGGCCGACATGTGTGCGCCTGTGCTGCTCATTGTTTCCGTGTTCCAATTAACACACCAAACACTATCATTGGCCGATTCCAGGGAGAGAATGCTGCGGCTCATCCATGACTTCGAAATTCTTGTGCCTGGACAGAAAGACAAGCTGGCTTTTCAGTTTGAGGAGATTCTGGCACTGATCTTGGCTCAGATGAACAAGACAACCCCATTTTATACGCCAACACTCAATGTGGTTACGAATCTCTACGGCGAATTTGCGCAGCTGCACCACATATACCACTTCCTGTACGCACTAGATCAACAAGGACTTACTTTGGACCATACCTCAAGCATCCGCATCCAGGGTCGTGTCAAAAAGCAAGTAGCTTGTCTCCCAGAAGATACCGCATCTCTGACTGAACGACAGAGCCAACTATACGCGTTCGGACTCCGTACTTGCCAAAACACCCTCGACGTACTCCGCAGCGTTGCCGGACAAGGCACTGCTGCTGATCTGAAACATGTCGAAATAACAATCTCAGCTTTACAGTCCCACCGCGAATTTACTGCTATCCTTGATCGCGCTGCTGAAAACAATGCGTTGCCCCAAGCTTACGCTACCCTTACCGCTGATATCCCGTCAAGTCAACGCACAGCCCTCATTCATCAACTTGCCCACCACTACTCACTTTCAACGACACGCTCTCACCGCGAAACCTGGCGCTCCATATACTACCTTTATGTATTCCTCGAGACACAATCTTTGCCAATTGGCCCCTTGTTCACAAAGGCCGTCGTGCGCTCTTCGATTATCCGCCCACTGATGGAGCATCGCTTTGTTAGCGCGAGGAGGCTGATCTGGGTCTGTAACCTTGTTGCCAGAGTTGAAGGCGAGCATGTGGCCAAGCAAGTAGAAAACAACTATTGGCTATGGAGGGGCGATTTGATCAAGCATGCCAAGGATGTGCATGACCAAGCTGGAGGAGATCGCAAAGCAAAAGCATCGATTAGCAGGTTGAAGGGCATAGGATTGATTTAGGGTCAAGTTGATGCCAAAAATTACATGAAATTCCAAACATCAAAAGAAACTATGAACATGTCAATCATCATGCCGTGTTGTTTCATCCACCTAGTATCTTTCAATCAAAAAGACCCTCCGCTCCACTTCTGACATGTCTCCCAGCATTCTCAGCTCCTCCCTCTTCATCACAAGATAGCTCTCTACCATGGCTCCTGGCAATGCCTCTCTGAACTCCGCATCCTTCTCCAGTGCCACCAGCGCCTCGAAAACGTCCCTAGGCATCTTCCTCGTCACACCGTACTCGGCCAATTCGTGCTTGTTCAGGGAAGCCGGGTTGACGGGGATATCGCGCGGCAAGTCTGTGGGCGTCGTCGGGGCGGAAGCGAGACCAAGGAGACCTGCGGCAAGGATAGCAGAGAGGGCAAAGTAGACGTTTGCCAGGCCGTCCATGGACCGTAGTTCCCAGTGACCTGAGTGGATGCGGCGAAGTGGCGTTTCGCGGTTTTGAGTACCCCATGCTACCTGTAGACGTGTCAGTACCATTGGTTCAACTCGGATGCAGGGTTTCAACGTTTACATACCCAAGTCCCACCCGTCCAGGAATCATCTTCAACCCTCGCATAACTCACTTCCTCTGGCATACTAAATGCACAAAGCGCAGGTAGATGTTTCAACACGCCGCCTACAAAGAAGTGCATATCGCGGTCCGGCGGGTGCAAGCTAACGTGGGCGTGAGCGGCCGTGCCGATGCCCTCAAACGGCTTGGGATGCAGTGTCGCTCTCAAGCCATGTAGGCTGGCTATCTGCGCAATCACCTGACGAGCCTGAATCAACGTGTCGACGGCGAGGAGAGGCGGTTGAGGCGGGAGCACAAATTCGTACTGGCCTTTTCCGGACTCGGCATGGAATTGCTGCACATCGATTTCCATTTGCTCGAGCGCTAGCACGATTTCACTCAGGAAAGGGAGCTGGAGCCATTGCGAGGGTGTGAGGGTACCCCAAGCGTGTTCCTTGGTGAGGGGCGAGTAAGGGTCTGCTTGGAAGGGGTTGGTGGGTGCGGAAGGTGGGTTGCGGGATAGAAAGGTGACTTCAATCTCGAAACCCACGAGGAGCGTGGTTGCGTGGTTGTATTGGAGTTCGTTGATGAGTATCTCCAAGTTGTTCCGCGGGTCGGACGGGAGGGGGACGCCGTTTTCGGAGCGCCAGTAGCTGAGTACCGTTGCTGCTGGGAGGGGGTCCTTGTTGTGTGTTGGTCGGAGGGAGCGCAAGTCTGGTTCTACGTAGATTTGCCCGGTTGTGTTTACCACGTGTGTTGTATGGTCGTTTTGCAGAGTTCCAGTGTTTCCCTGAGAGATGCCGATGCGCTCGCCCTCGCTGATCATACGCGTAAACTCCTTGATGGGCACAATGCGGGTACGAATTGTAGCTGTGTAGTCAAGCCATTGCACATAGATGAACTTGACGGTTGGATTCTGCTCCATGAAATAGTCAAACTTTTCAATGTCGTAGACTTGCGGTACCTTTGGTGGAGGGGGGAAGGCTGGTTGTGCGTATGGAGAGACAGGTGGACTGATTTGCCTATCGGAAGTTGGAGTTTGACTGTACAAACCTGTGCTTGGACCTGGCGTAACTGCTGGGGATCGAAAAGGTGAGGCTGTACTTGGCTTCGTGTTGTATGTCAATTGCTTCGGGGGGGCTTGTATAGTCTCATCAAACGTAGCCTCGTAGCGCAGATCGTACACCACATTCGCGTTGTTGAACATGATATCCTTGGTCATACCAATGGCCTGTTGTGGGGTGAGGTCACCTTTTTTAATGTATTCGATAAGTATCTAGCATAATTAGTACAACTTGAACTCAAGTCACAAGCAAAGAGGTGAGTACTTACATCAAGCCACACTTCACGAAACTGTGCATTTGCCAACCAGAACGTCTCCGGAAACCAATGGCCATCAGAAGAGTACAAGAGTTTACTCCCAGGTACTAGCTCCATGGCTTGTCGTAGAACTGTTGCCTGACCATCTCTGCTAATCATGGGAAACACTTCGCCAATATCGAGATACACATGCCGATATACTGTTGCAAGATAGCCTGCTTCGCGCGTATATGGATACGCCGAGTGGAGCAGCACAAAAGGCACTTGCGGGTAGTTTTCAATCAAGGGCTGGAGAAACGATGGGTTTGCTTCCAAGAGACTGATGTCATTGTCTCCCAACCCAGTATGCAGCTGGAATGGCTTTGCAAGCGAGTCCGCATGAGGTAGTCGCTCGGACAGTATCTCCAATGTTCGTAACACCAGGTAGTCATTCAGAGGCTTTTTCTCGATCCTATAGATGCGCTTGCGAACGCAGCTCTTGACGTAGCGTTCGAACGGGTGTCCGACCATTTTCGCAGCTTGCTCATAGTCCGGCTCAACGTCGAGACCGGTACGATAGCAGACGACAGATTTAAAGCCAGCAACGTTTTTGTCTTCAATGGCATCCTGGATCTCACGCTCGAATTCATCGGTAAAGTTGGTCCAGGTCTTGGGTAGAAACTTGGTCTTTGCCAAATCATCTTCTGACGCATCTCGTACAAGACTTTCCATCAAGCGCTCAGCGACTGTCTCAATTCGCACAATACGCTTAGTGGGCGCCTTCGTATAACGGTCATGGTAATCATAAGGAAAGACCTGCTCGGGCGCAGCGAGCCCGTCGTCGATGAGGAGAGCGTGAATGTTTTCGAAGCATCGCTCATGCAAGCGTTCAGAGTTGCTCCGCAGCCACTCAATCCTCTGCTCCAAGATGTCCTCCCAGTCTGCACCCTCAGCGCATTCGTAAAGTTGACGTAGTTGTCTGGCCGCTCGCAAATGCGAAAGCGATTTGAACGTGTCTCGTAAGGCTCGTCCCTGGGCTTCCGTAGTTATCGTTTCGAACGGTATCGTATTGATGTGTGCGGGCAAAATAAGGTTGTGCGCGTGGTTGTCGATGATGGGGTAATTGTTGACCACATGCCGCAGTTGCTCGATAGTAAGTCTAACGGGGGCTGTTATTGGGTCCATGGCCATCTCTTGACTTTGGGTGGGATGCGAATGGTGGTCCGCTGAAGCCTTTCCTGAGTTTTGCGCCTTGAGTAGAAACGCACGACGATTGAAGAGGATAGTCTTCGGTCTGAAATGACCTATAAGATCAGTAGGAGACGGGAATTGCTAGTACACCTAAAATCTGAACGATGCAAGCATGAACCAAGTGAGTGGATTATCCACGATGTTATTTTCCAAGGTCACAGGATGACGCCGGTGCTGGCGGAACCCACGATTATGGATGGCAGTAGTGAGGATATGCTTGGATCAGGGCCGAGAGGTCGTAGTTTGTTAGCGCACAAAGATACAGAATACAGACTTCACAGTAAAGAGCGTTGACCCAATGGGTATCACGACTAAGTGGGGTAGTGTTCTGACTGATCTCATGAACGTCAGCCGACCCTGCAGGGTACGAAAACATGCTGCTCATAGCCCACACAATACTGCACCCCAAAACCAATGCATCATTCACGCACACAAAATCATGGACAAAACATTGGAATCCCATTCAATCTAGTAATCTCCTTGCGAGTAGTCAATATAGCACAGAAGATTAAATTGTCACCTAATCAAAGACACTAATGTGCTCTTCGCGACAAAGGCCGTTATGTAGCCAAACAACAAATGGGAATAAGCGCAACCCACGCAAACTATGCAGCAGATAAATGTCAAACCCGACAACCACATCTACATCAACCTCGTATTGGACGTCTACAAAAAGATCATAGCCATGCCCGAAGCAACGGCGCCGACAATGTACATGCCGAAGCCGAAACCGCCGGCAGTGAAGTGAGGAGCGGATAGGCCAGCAGCAGCGCCAGCAGAACCAGATGCAGATGCGCCGCCGGCACCAGTAGGACCGGCAGCAGCAGAAGCGACTTTACCGGTGCCGTCAACACCGGCATCCTTGAGGAGCGAGGCGCAGTTGGAACCAGTAGGAGTGGCGGCAGCAGCCTTGGTGGTAGCTTTGCCCTTGAAGTTGCAACCGTTGGGGACAGCCTTAGCATATGCGTTGGCAGCGAATGAGAGCTGGTCCCTGCTGGGGCACATGCCGTAGACACCGTAAGGGCCAGTAGTGGCGTTCTTGTTAATACCGGCGCAGTACTTGCCATCCTTGAGGCCGCAGATGAATCCGAAAATGTCGCCATACTCGGACTCCTTGACGTCTTCAGAGATCTCGCAGCTAAGAGTTTCCCTCATGCAAGAGCAAAGGTTGGAGTTGGCGACAGGGGGCAGAGGGTCGGAAACAGCTTCCCACTTTCCAGGGGTGGGCGAGGGGCAGCTGGCAGCCGCGGTGTTGGTGGGGTTGTAGTCTGCCATCTTGACACCGACGGGAGTGGCCTTGGCGATTTGCTTGGACAGGTTGTCAAAGTCCTCGTTGGTCTTGACCTTGCCGTTGGAAACGGTAGCGAGACCTGAGAGTCGTTAGCAAGAGAGGTTGAGGAAGGTGAAAGGCATGAGAGACTTACCGAACTGGTTCGCTTCCTCAAAGTACATGTAGACGATACCACCAGACCAGACACCAGTCATTTGGTTACCGTAGAGCGCGCCAACCTCTGTGAACTTACGAGGGCGAGGAGTGTTGCAACCGTATTCGGCGAAGAAGACGGGGACATTGTACTTTTCAAAGTTCTTGGTCTGAACGTCGAATCCGGACTTGGTGAAGGACGAGTCACCGCACCAAGAGTAGATGTTGTATCCCCAGAAGTCAATAGAGGTAGAGGAGTCACCACAGTCGAAGTAGTTGGCCATGTTCTCGCGAATCGCGGCATCGTCGTTGGTCGCGTATCCGACACCGATCTCACGGTAGTTCTTGCTCTTGATGTAGGCCTTGGTATCACGGACAGCCGCCTTGACAAAGGCGCTGGCGATGGTGTTGTTGGGCTGGTTGCTAACCTCGTTACCAGCGAAGAAGCCGAGCGTGTTGTCGTACTTCATCATCTCGTCAACGACGCTAGTGTAACGTTTGTACAGCTCGACAGTCCAGCCAGGGTCATCACGGTTAATGGACAGTCCAGGCTCGGACAAGTCGGATACGACGTAGATGCCGGCGTCTGCGAGTTGCGACATGCAGTCCTTGTGGTCCTTGGTCGGGTCGATGGCGTACACACGAATTGTGTTGGTTTGGAGCTTCTTGAGCTGCTCAATGTCACGCTTGCAAGCCGCACTGTCGGCAAGGGGGTCGGTGATGTCAATGCCATCTGTGGATGATGCTGTCGAGTTGGAGTTGACTTCTTGTTGGTATGCAACACCCTTCATGAAACTAAGAACATGTTAGCTTGGCCCAGATCTTGGAAAGCTGGGCTGCTTACAATTGTTCACCACTGTTCTTGTGGAAGAACTTGGAGCCCTAGGCATTGTCAGAAGTGAAAGGCGCAGTTGCCACGCGTCGTCGTACCTTGATGACAATAGGGTCAATGGCGGCCTGCGCGCCCGCGAGCAGGGCCGCAGCAGCAATGATTCCGCGCATAGTGATAGCTTTTTTGGTATAAGACGTGTTCCAAGAGGCGCGGGTGGTGTTGGCGTGAGCTTGGGTTGAATCGCCGAGAGTTGTTGTTTAAGGAATTTGAGAATTTGTTAAGAAGGCAGGAGACAGGTGGTCAGGGAAGGAGCGTGGCGCCACAGCAAACGATGCTGTAAGCAATAAGAAATAACTCAAGGAGGTAATGAAGGACTGGTAAAACAGAAAAGTGAGTGTAGAAACGACTCTGAGGCACAGTGAGTGAAGAAGTCCAGGGCGAACCAAGCATTCCAAGAAGGATCGACGAGGGTTCACCTGCGCCCCTGACACTAGCCCCGTTTCGAGTTGTTAGCGCGGCTTTGAGACTTTGAGACCTCGTATGCTCTGCTGCCCTGATGGCTGTGAAGCTAAGCATCTGTCACAAGGAAACGCTGAATTTCACAGTAGGCATCGGATCATGTAGTCTTGTTTTGCTGGTATGAATGCATGACTACACAGGGCTATTGTGTGGTTGTAGTATGTACGGTACCTCATGGTGGATTACTACTTGGAAATGTCTGGCGACGCGTAAACGCAATCTCGCTCCACCCCACCGCCCACGGTTGCTAATTTGGGTCGTGTCTGCACATATTGCGTGCGCCATCGATTGCATACCCATACCATACCTGGGTGAGATCGGTTGCCAGAAAAGACGTCAGTCACAGATACGAGGAAGCCGTGCAGTACCGTAGTTGTCATGTTTGAAGGTGGTGTTAGTGACAGCGCCAATGTCATGTCACTGCCTGTCGCACCGCCTCGTGGAGTTTCGCGGAGAGACCGGTACCTGGACTCGCACACAAGACAGTCTGGCCGGATGAAACACGATTCTTTCAGTGGCGCAGTCGGACGAGGGCGGCCAATCGAACCTGTACTTAGTCTTCGAGTCAGGGCATGCACATGCACAGGCATCGCGGCTTCCGCGCCGGGAACTGCGACTTCCAGACGTGTGTAAGAGCAATGCTAACAGAACGTGGTGCGAGCTCGATGAAACGTTATGCGCTTTTGGCACCTGTCAAGCACCCTGCGCTGTGCTCATGTATACCTGCGAGGCTGCTTGTGGGTGGGTTCTGAGGCATAGTGTCGAGGGCGTGGGAAAAGTACATGGCAGAGTAGTAAAGTAAAGCGGGTTCCATGCGAATTTGCATGCAGCCGACGCAATCATGATGCTGGGCGCAGCTGCAATTGGCTGGCAAACGGCATGTTTCGGCCGGTTGTGTTGGAAGGAGGAAAACTGACTTCTAATATAGCTCACCGGTGCCGGGGCCCATGTTGCTCCTGTTCTGTTCTGTTCTGTTCTGTTCGGCGGGACATGGCAAATGGGCAAACCGATCATGGCACGATGCTTTTTGAGGATCAATGTATCGAACATGCAGGTGTCGGGAGCTCAACACTGCAACCATCTGATAGCTCCATCCAGGCTTTGGAACCCGAGAGGCAGCTGCCGCAGGAGGGACGGAGCGGGCGTTGAGCGTTTGGGTGCGGCGTGCTCGGGTGGCCGTCTCAACAGTACATGTTAGTGGCCGTCAGCCCCCTTTGCATTGCGACACCAAGCAACCGTTGACGTGGGCTAGGGACTAGGCATGGTAGCGACTGGGGGGGGGGTGCTGAGCGGAAGCGCGCCACATGGCGATTGGCCGTCTTGATAACGAGGAAAAAGCCCTATCGTTGATATCGCGCCGGGCGAGCGACCGGGCGAAGAAAGATGGCGGCATGGCGGCATGGCGGCATCACATCAAATTGGTGTCCCGGCTAGCCGTGGTTTGATCAGCGCGGGCCTGCACTACCGTGCGCGTCCTGCCACTGCGGTTTTGTTGGGTTGTGAGTCGTGAGTCGCCTCCGTCTGTCGCCTCGCCGTGTCGTGTGCCGGGCCACGGCTGCTATGGTGACATGTGGTGGACAGAAGGAGGCAATGTGCTGAAAAGCGTGATGCAATGTGAAAAGAGGGATGCAATATGAATGTAAAATGCAAGCATGCAGACAAACTAGGACGTCTAGAATGGTGAGCTTGCGAGGACGGTGAAGGATAGCGGTGGCAGCCCTCGGCCAGCTGTCAACCAGAGACAAGTCGCGCACGCTTAGTACAGTCTACGGTATAGTGCTGAGTCGAGGGCATTGCGGGAGCGAGTTTTATCGATATGCGTGCAGATCGAGATGCCTGCCATGGTTGCACCTGCATGCTTTCCAAGTTTCCAGTTCACCACCACCTCCCACCACTCCCATGGCCGCACACGCCCACTACGGCTCGCGCTCCCAACGCAGTCGAGCAGCACATCTTGCCAAATGTGGATGCTAGAACAAGGCGCCCGAGGGCGGCGGCTTGGTGCATTTTTGTAGTCCATGCTGTTTTTAGAGGGGCGACGACACCAATACTCGGGACGTGAATGCTAGCGACGGGGACCCATGTCCACTCCCAATGACGGCGTTAGGCTAGCTTGGCATTCGTGCCTTTCATTTTCAGGGGAAGCTGCTAAAAAGCTCTTTGCCTGCCCCCCTTCCGCATTCCACACTGTCGCTCCCTCCCCCAAACCCCTTCTTCCGTGTCTGTTTTCCTTCTACATTGCCTCTCGTTTTCTCGCGTTGAGGTTGTGTAGTGCTCCCCAATCTTACTCCCCAAGAAATCCGCCACGCACGCCGACTCGTAGAGAGTTCGCCCCGACACGCAAGCGCCGATTCGCCGCGCGTCTCTCCTGGCAACCACGACGCAGCTGCATATCCAGCTATCCATTCGCTAGTCACGACTACAACACCAGACTGTCTCGTTCAGCACCCGCTACGAGCTGATCGCCTTGCTACCGAGTCTCTATCTTGGCCTAAATAGCGAGCGACTGCCTGCTTCACAAAGCTTCCTCGCCAATTGTCTGTTCGCTCCTGCAACAACACCACACTCTTTGAACCGCCTTCCGCACTCGAGTGCACCAACACACGACCGCACCTTCGCGCGGCAGCCATATTACGACTAATCCGACTTCTGCCGCTCCTAATGCCCACTGCTTGAGGTACGCTCGCCCGCCCCTTCCGACACTTGCTGTTTCACCCACCAGCAGCTGCCACACCGCCCTCCGACTTAACAGACACTGACAGCTGCTCCTCTAGTTTCCACATCTCCACTCTAATTGCTTCCCAAGATGTCCGGACATCCACAGGGAGGCCAATACGACGACGGCTACGGCCAGAATCAGGGCCACCCCCAAGCCCAACAGGGCCAAGACGCCTATTATCACGATGATTACCAGGGCCAGTACCACGACGACGCCCATGGCGCCCAGTACCAGCAGCAGGGCCAGCATGGCGATGCCTATTACGACGAATCGTGAGTCCCGCCTATCCGACGCGTTTCTGCATCCAATTGCTAACACATCAGCAGCGCCTACTATGATGGTCAGCAGGGCGGCAACTACCAGCAAAACGGCTATTACGACGAGCGAGGTCAGCAGGGATACCAGGACGAGTATTACGACAACCAGTACTACGACCAAGGAGGTGCGCAAGATGGCCAGCAGCCACGCCGCCGTCAGCACGACTCCGAGGAAGACTCCGAGACCTTCAGCGACTTCACTATGCGATCGGACATGGCTCGCGCTACCGACATGGATTACTACGGTCGTGGCGATGAGCGCTACAACAGCTACGCCGAAGGCAACCGCGGCTACCGACCCCCTTCGTCTCAGGTTTCGTACGGTGGCAACCGATCGTCCGGCGCCTCAACCCCCATCTACGGTATGGATTACTCAAATGCCCTGCCCGCTGGACAGCGGTCTCGCGAGCCCTACCCAGCCTGGACCGCCGAGGCTCAGATTCCCTGCACTAAGGAGGAGATTGAGGATATTTTCCTTGACCTCACTTCCAAGTTCGGTTTCCAGCGTGACAGCATGCGTAACATGTACGATCATTTCATGACTCTGCTCGACTCGCGTGCGTCTCGTATGTCGCCGAATCAGGCTCTTCTGTCTCTCCACGCCGATTACATCGGTGGAGAGAATGCCAACTACAGACGCTGGTATTTTGCTGCTCATCTCGACTTGGATGATGCTGTTGGCTTTGCGAACATGAACCTTGGAAAAGCCAACCGTAGGACTCGCAAGGCCCGTAAGGCGGCCAAGAAGAAGGCCAGCGAGAACCCAGGAAACGAGCAGGAGGTCCTCGAAGCATACGAGGGCGACAACAGTCTGGAGGCGGCTGAATACCGCTGGAAGACGCGCATGAACCGTATGTCGCAACAGGACCGTGTGCGACAGGTCGCCCTCTACCTCCTGTGCTGGGGTGAGGCTAACCAGGTCCGTTTCATGCCCGAGCTCATGTGCTTCATCTTCAAGTGCGCGGATGACTGGCTCAACTCGCCGGCTGGCCAGGCTCAGACTGAGCCAATCGAAGAGTTCACATACCTCAACCAGGTTATCACGCCTCTGTACCAGTACTGCCGTGACCAAGGTTACGAGATCCAAGATGGCAAATATGTCCGTCGTGAGCGCGATCACTCGGGCATTATTGGTTACGACGACATGAATCAGCTTTTCTGGTACCCAGAGGGTCTCGAGCGAATCGTCTTCGAGGACAAATCCCGTCTCGTGGACATTCCGCCCGCCGAGCGTTACCTCAAGTTGAAGGATGTTCTCTGGAAGAAGGTCTTCTTCAAGACATACTACGAGCGACGATCGTGGTTCCACATGGTCATCAACTTCAACCGTATCTGGATTATCCATTTGACGTCTTTCTGGTTCTACACTGCTTTCAACTCGCAGCCCCTCTACACGAGGAATTACCAGCAACAATTAGACCAGAAGCCAGAAAAGGCCGCCATTCTGTCCGCCGTCGCCCTCGGAGGTACCATCGCCTCATTCATCCAGATCTTCGCTACCATCTGCGAGTGGTGTTACGTTCCCCGTCGATGGGCTGGTGCTCAACATTTGACCAAGCGTCTCTTGTTCCTCATTCTGGTTTTTGTCATCAACGTCGCCCCTAGCGTCTACATCTTCGGCTTGGACAAGCGTGTTGGTACCATTCCCAACATCCTGGGTGGTGTGCAATTCGCCATCGCCTTGATCACGTTCATCTTCTTCTCCGTCATGCCAATCGGTGGTCTCTTCGGTAGCTACTTGACTCGCAACTCTCGCAAGTATGTTGCCAGTCAGACCTTTACCGCAAGTTACCCTCGTCTTGCTGGCAACGACAAGTGGATGTCTTACGGTCTGTGGGTTCTGGTTTTCGCTGCCAAGCTTACCGAGTCTTACTTCTTCTTGACTCTGTCCATCAAGGACCCCATCCGTATTCTTTCCCACATGAAGAAGCCTGATTGTCTGGGAGATGCCATTATCGGTAACATGCTTTGCCAGTACCAGCCTCGGATTCTCCTCGGTCTCATGTACTTCATGGACTTGATTCTGTTCTTCTTGGACTCTTATCTCTGGTACATTATCGCCAACATGTTATTCTCCGTTTCCAGGTCTTTCTACCTCGGTGTCTCGATCTGGACACCCTGGAGGAACATCTTCTCGCGTCTACCTAAGCGTATCTACTCAAAAGTTCTCGCGACAACCGATATGGAGATCAAGTACAAGCCCAAGGTTCTCATCTCCCAGATCTGGAACGCTGTCGTCATCTCCATGTACCGTGAGCATCTGCTCGCCATCGACCACGTCCAGAAGCTTCTCTACCACCAGGTTCCTTCGGAGCAAGAGGGTAAGCGCACACTTCGTGCTCCTACCTTCTTCGTCTCGCAGGAAGATCACTCCTTCAAGACCGAGTTCTTCCCTGCGCAGAGCGAAGCTGAGCGTCGTATCTCTTTCTTCGCCCAGTCTCTCTCCACTCCTATCCCTGAGCCTCTTCCGGTTGACAACATGCCTACCTTCACTGTTCTGATTCCCCATTACGGTGAAAAGATTCTGTTGTCTCTCCGCGAGATTATCCGTGAGGATGAGCCGTACTCCCGTGTTACCCTTCTTGAGTACCTCAAGCAACTTCACCCTCACGAGTGGGATTGCTTCGTCAAGGACACCAAGATTCTTGCGGACGAAACTTCTCAGTTCAATGGCGACGACGAGAAGAACGAAAAGGATACCGCTAAGAGCAAGATCGATGATCTTCCCTTCTACTGCATTGGTTTCAAATCTGCCGCTCCTGAGTACACCCTGCGCACACGTATCTGGGCTTCTCTCCGTTCCCAGACTTTGTACCGTACCATCTCTGGTTTCATGAACTACAGCCGTGCGATCAAGCTTCTCTACCGTGTCGAGAACCCCGAAGTCGTCCAAATGTTTGGTGGTAACTCCGACAAGCTTGAGCGTGAACTGGAGCGCATGGCCCGCCGCAAGTACAAGATTTGCGTATCTATGCAACGTTATGCCAAGTTCAGCAAGGAAGAGCGCGAAAACACCGAGTTCCTGCTCCGTGCCTACCCCGACCTGCAAATTGCCTACCTTGATGAGGAGCCTCCTCTCAACGAGGGTGACGAGCCGCGTATCTACTCTGCCCTCATCGATGGCCACTCCGAAATCATGGACAACGGTATGCGCCGACCCAAGTTTCGCATTCAACTTTCTGGCAACCCTATTCTTGGAGACGGCAAATCCGACAACCAGAACCACTCCATCATCTTCTACCGCGGAGAGTACATTCAACTTATCGACGCCAACCAAGACAACTACCTTGAGGAGTGCCTGAAGATCCGTTCCGTCCTTGCCGAGTTCGAGGAGATGACAACCGACAATGTTTCACCCTACACTCCCGGTCTTCCTAATGCCAACTTTAATCCGGTTGCCATTCTCGGAGCCCGTGAATACATTTTCTCTGAGAACATCGGTATCCTTGGTGACATCGCTGCCGGAAAGGAACAGACATTCGGTACTATGTTTGCCCGTACATTGGCTCAGATTGGTGGCAAGCTCCATTACGGTCATCCTGATTTCCTCAACGGTATCTTCATGACTACTCGTGGCGGTGTCTCCAAGGCTCAGAAGGGTCTCCATCTCAACGAAGATATTTACGCCGGTATGAACGCTCTCCTACGTGGTGGCCGTATAAAGCATTGCGAGTACTACCAGTGTGGTAAGGGTCGTGATTTGGGTTTCGGTTCCGTCCTCAACTTCACAACCAAGATTGGTACTGGTATGGGAGAGCAGATGTTGTCTCGCGAGTACTACTACATGGGTACCCAGCTTCCCCTCGACCGTTTCCTGTCCTTCTACTACGCCCATCCTGGTTTCCACATCAACAACATGTTCATTATGTTGTCGGTCCAGTGCTTCATGTTCGTTCTCATCCACCTCGGCGCCCTCAACCACGAGACCATTCTCTGCTCGTTCAACAAGGACCTTCCCATTACCGATCCCCAATGGCCCAACGGCTGTGCCAACTTGGTTCCTGTCTTCGACTGGGTCGCGCGTTGTATCGTCTCTATCTTCATCGTTTTCTTCATCTCTTTCGTTCCGCTTGTGGTTCAAGAGTTGACTGAACGTGGATTCTGGCGTGCCGCAACCCGTCTGGCCAAGCACTTCTCGTCTGGATCGCCTTTCTTCGAGGTCTTTGTCACCCAGATCTACGCCAACGCTCTACACACCAACTTGTCCTATGGTGGTGCTCGCTACATTGGTACCGGTCGTGGTTTCGCTACCGCACGTATTCCCTTCGGTATCCTGTTCTCGCGTTTCGCCGGTCCTTCCATTTACATTGGTGCTCGTTCCCTCATGATGTTGCTCTTTGCCACCATCACAGCATGGGGTCCATGGCTCATCTACTTCTGGGCGTCCCTGATGTCTCTCTGCTTGGCACCCTTCCTCTTCAACCCTCACCAGTTCTCATGGGACGACTTCTTCATCGACTACAGGGAGTACCTCCGCTGGCTGTCTCGAGGAAACACTCGGTCTCACAGCGCGTCCTGGATTGGATACTGCCGTCTCTCGCGAACACGTATCACTGGTTTCAAGCGCAAGGTTCTCGGAGACCCATCTGCTAAACTCTCTGGCGATGTTCCTCGTGCTCATTTCACCAACATCTTCATGAGTGAGATCTTCGGTCCTCTCGTTCTGGTCGCCATCACTCTCGTCCCCTTCCTCTTTATCAACGCCCAGACCGGTGTCAACGACAGGCGCGATACCTCCAAGGAGGCAGCCGGTCTTCCGCCCCCAGTCAAGTCCGGCGCCTTGGTCCGCATTGGACTCATCGCTTTGGGACCCGTCGCTGTCAACGCTGGTGTATTGGCTGGTATGTTTGCCTTGGCTTGTTGCGCGGGACCCCTTCTCAGCATGTGCTGCAAGAAGTTCGGTGCGGTCCTGGCTGCCATTGCCCACGCCATCGCTGTCCTGATCCTCCTCATCTTCTTTGTTGTTCTCATGTTCCTTGAGGGTTTCAGCTTCCCAAGAGCCTTGTCTGGTATGATTGCCGTCGTCGCCATCCAGCGATTCTTCTTCAAGCTCATCATCGTCTGCACCCTCACTCGTGAGTTCAAGGCCGACACTGCCAACATTGCTTGGTGGACTGGAAAGTGGTACACCATGGGCTGGCACACGATCTCCCAACCCGGTCGTGAATTCCTCTGCAAGATCACCGAGCTGGGTTTCTTCGCTGCCGACTTCATCCTGGGCCACGTCCTGCTCTTCTTCATGTTGCCGATCATATTGCTGCCATACGCCGACAAGTTCCACTCGGTCATGCTCTTCTGGCTCCGTCCCAGGTACGTTTTATCAATCCTTTCAGCTGAACACGACTAACATTCTGCAGCCGTCAAATTCGTCCTCCTATCTACTCGCTGAAGCAGACCAAGCTCCGCAAGCGTCGTGTGATTCGTTACGCGATCCTCTACTTCCTGCTCCTTGTAGTCTTCCTTGCTCTCATTGTTGGACCCATTGTCGCTGGCAAGTTCCTCAACTTCAAGATCAGCTTGCCTATGGAGATCATGCAGCCAACTGGATACAACAACAACGACACAACTACCAGCACGACAGGCAGGTGTGTCCAGGGCGTTTGTCCAGTGTTCAACGCCGGCGACGCCGCTGGTACAGATGGAGGAGGCGCAGCGTCAACAGATGCGGCGGCTCGTCGCTTCCGCCGGTACATGGCGTACTAAAAGCATGTTTTGGGGATCGTTGTCTACCAGCTTCGTACCTTGCATTGTACACGATGGGCGAAGCATGAGCGCGGTGGACTTTGTTTGGTTCCATAATGATTGTAATATTCAGCTACAGTATTTCTCTCGTTTATTATTGGGGGCGTTTTGCGGTGGGGTTCGATTAACCCATCAGCCTGCTTTCTCTCTTTTTTCACACACTTGTCCGCCCTGGGTGCGGACATGACTGCACATACACTACGAAGGGTTTGGTTTGGTTCATTAAGGGAAGGCGAACACGTTAGAAAGCGAATGCATTACAGATAAATATATGGATGTCTTATCTACCTCATTTGGCCCAACACTGTATCAAACGAAAGATGTATCGGCTAAAGGCCTGGTTCCATTGATGTCGACCATTGTTCACAGTACAACAATGATATCGGTACCGGAGAGCAAAAGTGGAAAAGTGATGAAGGAAATTAGGGTCGGGATGAGACGGACGGGGCTGTGAAATTGCGACGCCTCGCGTGGCACCTCCGCGCTTCGCCGCAACCCCCGAACATCAGCGCGTGGCATCGACCAAGGGAACAGCCACGTCTTCCGCCCTCAGACTGTAATCATGGATCTTAACGAAGTGCAAAATGCTACAGCGCGCTTCTTCAACGATGCTAATGCGCAATTCAATCGCATACCGGGTTCTGCCATCGCCGTGAGGTACATCAAGTCGAGTTACCAGAACGACCCGGTTCGCAGCGCAATAGAGTTATTCTTGTTCCTCTTCGCCGTGAGGTACCTGCTTGCACCCAAGTACAGTACACAGAAGAAAGTACAGCTTACGGATGCGGTATGTCTGTCTTGTAGTCGTGTTTTTGTACCTTTCGGCGATGTTTGGAGACTGACGATGAAATAGGAGATTGACGAGTTGGTCGAAGACTGGACGCCGGAACCGCTGGTAGCACCCACGACTGCGCTCGAGGAACTTGAAAACGAGAAGCGACCGGTTATTGTTGGGTAGGATGTCTGATTCCTTGTCGGCCTGCCAAATGCTAACTTGGCCTGCCTAGACCTACCGGCCCCAAGTCGAAGCTCTCCAACGGCCGCACCGTGACCAACCTCGCCTCGTACAACTTCTACAACTTCCTTTCAAGCGATGTCCTCAAGGACAAGGCCATTCAGACGTTGCGCACTTATGGCGTTGGCCCCTGCGGTCCCCCCGGGTTCTACGGCACCCAGGACGTCCACATGAAGACGGAAGCCGACGTGGCCGCCCACCTCGGTGTTTCCGCCTGCATCATCTATGCCCAATCCTTCTCGACTATCAGCAGTGTCATTCCCAGTTTCAGCAAGCGTGGAGACATCATCGTTGCGGATCGCGCGCTCAACTTTGCAGCGAGGAAGGGCATACAAATCAGCCGCAGTACCGTCCGATGGTTTGAGCACAATGACATGGAAGACCTGGAAAACGTGCTCAAGAAAGTCGTCAAGGAGCAGGCTAAGAAGCCGCTAACTAGGCGCTTTATCATCACCGAGGGCTTGTTTGAAAACATTGGCGACGTAGTCAATCTGCCAAAGCTGGTACGTGTACCAAAGTTGCTAGATGCTATGTCAGAAGTCCTCAGCTAACACGCTTATAGATCGAACTCAAGCTAAAGTACAAGTTCCGCCTTATTCTCGACGAAACATGGTCCTACGGCGTCCTCGGCCGCACCGGCGGCGGTGTCACCGAAGCCCAAAACGTGGACGCCTCGGAAGTAGACATGATCATTGGCTCCCTCTCCGGGCCTCTCTGCGCCGCAGGCGGATTCTGCGCCGGCAATGAAGAAGTTGTAGAACATCAGCGCATCTCCTCAGCCTCGTACACGTACTCTGCTGCTCTCCCCGCCTTGCTGAGCACCACGGCCAGTGAAACAATCAGCATGTTGCAAGAACAACCCGACCTCCTGACTGGACTACGCGAGAATGTCAAGGCAATGCGCGCACAGCTTGACCCGAGGAGCGACTGGGTACGCTGCAGCAGTTCGTCCGATAATCCTATGATGCTTCTGGTCTTCAAGGATGAGGTTATCAAGGCGAAGAAACTTTCGCTTGAGGATCAGAATCAAATATTCCGGGATGTTGTTGATGAAGTATGTGTGCTCTTGTTCCCTTTTCTCTTCCTGCAATCATGAACCCAACTGGCTAACACAATCTCTCTAGTGTCTCGCAAACGGCGTCCTCATCACACGCCTCAAGTCGTTCCCAATCGGCCTCGGCCTCAACCCCCGAGATGCCGGTTGGCAGCCTACTCCCGCGCTCAAGGTTTGCGTTACGAGCGGGCTGACCAAGAAGGAGACCGAGAAGGCGGGTATTGTGATAAGACATGCAATTACCAAGATCATTAGCAAGCGCAAGTAGTAGGCACGACTTTGGTATGTTTTTGTGCATTCATTTACGAGCATGAATGGCGGCGTTGAAAGACTGGGTTGGTGGGTGGTTTGGCTATGTTTGGTAGATTTGGGACGAGTATTTTGTTCACATTCTTCATCTAAGTGGTTGCATATACATAATAGTATCTTCGTAATGCGTTTTATGACATGTTCACACGAGCAAGACTGCGCAATTGAAACAACATGGTGACAATAGGGTATCATTGTATATTTTTGTAACGCCCGCTAATCAATCACACTTCACGCCGAGTGACGCATATCCGCTTCATATGGCCCATTCCCTTCCCTCCAACACAAGCAAGCGTCACGCTCATGCTACGCTGCCGTGTTCGCCACCTCCAGCTGTGCTTTATCTACGGCTTCGGAATCTTCACACTCTTGCTGACCATCAAGCACCCGTGGAGAATGAACATGGCGACCACAGGATGAAACTCAAGCGGCGTGCCCTCGAGCCAAAGTCCCAACGGCACCTGCTCCATAGTCCACCCCTTGTACACCCAATACGTCATGATCTGGACGATACCCAAGGACATGGGAATCGGGGTACCCTCAAAGTACTTGCTCTTGCCAGTCGCATCCTTGGGCACCATGGCAACCGTGACATTGAACCTCGCCAGACGCGTGAGTCCGCACAGGACAAAAAAGCTGAGCAGGACGTGGTCGACGGGGGTGCGGAGACCCAGGCAAAACGCCGCTGCGGCAGGCGACACACCAAACGAGATGAGGTCGGCGAGCGAATCAAGTTCCTGGCCCATGAGCGACGCCTTCTTGCGCCAGCGTGCCACTTTGCCGTCCATGAAGTCGAAGAAGAGGCCGAGCGGGATGAAGCCGAGCGCCCAGTACAGGTTGGTGTGGTTGGTGGGGTCGGCTTGCGTGCAGTAGCGGAGCGAGGAGAGAATGGACATTATGCCGCAGAAGCCTGTGTTTGCCTGGTTAGTCTTCACGTCTTGTTACTGTTTGGGGACTTGTGCGTACCATTGAGCTCCGTAATGAAGTCTGCAAGATGCAGAGCGCGGACGAGGGAGAAGTGGCCGGCTTCTTGGGAGAGCAGACGGACTTGCTTGTCTTGTGCTATTCGGAGGTGTCATGTTAGCTTGTGTTGTTACTTTCCTGGGATACAGCGCATTGCTTCTCTCTCTCCTCCTTGACAGGCTTTCTACATACTTTCACCCTTTGCAGGAGGCATCTGGTCCTTGGGTTGCGGCTCGCCGCCGCCGTTCCTTCGTTGCGACATGACTGTGTCGTTGCTCTGCGTTATTGTCCTAGGCTTCGGTATGATAGCAGCTCGCAATCGCCTGCTAAGATGAAAAAGAAATTCTTCGCTTTGTGCGATAAGTTGATCAAGGGTCCCAGGCTTCCGCGAGAGGAAAAGTAGGGTTTTGGTGGTCAAAAGCTTGTTGCCTGCTGATCAAAAGGCAGTGCGGCGGCGGTGCAAAGGCAAGCGGTGACGTTGGCCCTGGCTGAGCCGGCTAGGTTGGCTGAGCCAGAATTTCAAGTTTGGCCTAAACGTCATCTCCCTGCGCCCGCCCCAGCCACAAACCGCTTGTCCCGCAGAATGTGTCGGCACATGTGATTGTCATTGTGCCAACATTCGCGACGCTATGTTTTCGTCAATGGTCTGTTCACCAGCTTGGCACACTATTCCATTGCCTGGTGACGTTGAGAGATAAGTAGCATGGCATGTCAATGGAGAGCTGAAACTATGACATGTATTATTCAAGAAGCCCTTGATATTACGCTTTCTCTTCTCAAAGAGCCGGTGTTACAGAGAAACAAAACAAAACAAAACAAAACAAGTCAAGCTTAATGACTGTGGTATCATGACTGTAAATGTGCGAAGCAAAGTCCTTCCCTGCCATGACCGAGTGATGGGTCCACTCAGTGTTTCGCATCAATGCTAACCATATGCAACCCTGTGTTGCTGTGGGGTTGCCCATGTGCGGGTATGCAAATATACCAAATCAACTCTTAGCTCGGTAACCAAGATAGCTGCGCAGAAGGCCTCATGTAAAACAACAGTGTACTGCTCTTAGCATGTCCCATCTATACGTGTCTCGAGGCGAAGAAGGCGCCTGGTATCGATCGCCTTCGGGGTTAGATAGGATGTCGATCCACAGCAATATTCAACCACATGCGGGTGTTGGCGTAATTCTGCGACGAGCCACTCGGCGCAAAAAAAGGCGATGGAACTTTGATCTGGGCAGGGACGAAATCACCGTGTGATGATCAGTGAGAAGCCGTCAAGCCATTGTGCGCAGGAGCCGGACAGGCCGCCGATTGTGTAGCCACGAGGAGGGATGAGCGTGTGTCTGACAACGTTAGCTAGCGCGCATGTCCTACATTGATCGTATACGTACCCGCTACCACCGTTCGGATTGCCATACCACTCGCTCTTCCTTCCCAAACTGGTTAGTATTTGCAAGCCATCGATCCAGAGTCCAGCGCGTAGAGAGAAACCCAGCAAAAGCTCTCCTTTGCGTGTGTCCAGTGCAAACTCCGTCATGCTACCTCCTCTGTTGCCGAAAAGTTGGGTTGCTGTATCTTCGTAGACAAATTCTAATCCATCCACTGCTGCGCCGTGGTATATCTTGATGCTGAGTAGGAGTTTGGTCTGAATGTGAACGTAATCGAAGATGACTTCCTCTGGCCGTGAACCCTCCATTTGCGAGTAGCCCAACTTGCCACCGCGGTAGCCCCATCTACCATCTGGTATCTTGACACGGGCTTGCTTCTGGTTAGAGAGTTGACTGAAGTCCTCGATAACATGCTTCCCTCCACCTGCAGAAAAGACCTCGACCTTCAAGCGTGACTTCTGTTTCTCTTTAGGTAGGAGGGAACGGACCATGCCTTCATCCAGTACAACCTGTCGTGGATATTGGCCTTCCGATTCGGGAAACTCTTTCCAGTGATGGCAAACATCGTCTCCTTCAGCAAACACTTCGACCCACGCAATGCCGGACTTCGAGGTTGCAATCACTCCACCTTGACTAACATCAACTGTCCATACCTGCACGCTGCCGTCTCCATTGATGTTGGGATTGTCAATTGGAATCCGGAAACAAGGGTGAAATCGGAAGCGCAGAACGTCTAATTTGTGCCATCTGCATTCGTCGTTAGGCAGCACGAGCTGCTGACCAGGTGACTTTGTGCGGGTGGAGTAAGGCTCTCGGCATGTGAAGGTGCGATTAAGCGTAACATAGTCGCGTAACATGACACCTGACTCCTGATGAGGACAGCCGAAGAGATGCCCTGTTTCGTGGAGATGAGCGCCAATTCCGATGTTGGCAGCCTCCCAGCTGCTTCCAGATTCGTCGCAATCATTTGCGACAAACGTGGTATCGGTTCGCGTACAGTCCTGGAAAGCCTGGAAGACTTCCTCTATACTTGATGGATAACTGTGAAGCGCATGGGACCCGAAGATGGCTAGTCCTAGGTCTTCAGTTCCTCCGCCCAAAGCCGCGTGTCCTCGGACCGTTTGTTCTTGCGTGTCCCAATGAGTGTCGAGGAATAGGCAGGATACGTAACGCTTTTGACCGGGCGCCATTGGAAAGTAATCTCTACATGCCTCTATGGCGATGTCGAAAAGTTCGTTCTTCTTTGTGGCTGGGCCGTATTGTTGGGCGTGTTGCAAATCACGTATTTCCGCGACAGATCTCCGAGAGCGAATGACGTGCACCTGTGCTTGTGTCCTGTACTGGTTTTGTGCCCAGTCTTGATAACTTAGCGTTCCAGGCTCCCAAGCATCTTCAAAGCGGAAACAACGGCGACCGAAACCATAGCGCTTCATCTGCTCGCCGGTAAAGGCTTGCCAAAGATATGCAGACATTCGAAACTTCTTGATGGCGAGTTCGAGACCATTCCCTTCTCGCTCGATGCGCTCAGGAGGTGCGTCATATGTTCCTGGGGAGTCATGGCCAAGGATAATAGCAAGTTGGAGAGGTGGAGAATGCGACAGTGGGAGGTAGTTAATATTGATGAAAGAAGCGTGGGCGGACATGGAGGTGCTTGGCGACGAGATCTTGGGCGAGGAAAAGTCTAGACGTATTCTGTTCCAGCCAGGCTCCAGGTGAACCAAAGCCTTGAAGTAGGAATCGTGAACTGGCCAGCAAGTAGACGGAAAACGGCCCTGATGGTGGTTAACCGTCAGTGTGCCATCCAACGGTTTGCTTTGCGCCTCGCCGATCTGGCCGAAAACTAGCAGCACTTGTTGATGTACCTAGGAATAATCAGCATTGTCTTTGTTCTATAGCCAACCATACGTACCCAGGAGTTATCCGAGACGGACAGGACGCGTGGTGCGAGCAGTGAGACTCTACTGAAAAAACTATTGGAGCCATTGGAGCCATTGGAAATTGGCGAAGCTAAG